ATATGTAGGGAGGAGCTTAATCCTACCTCAGGTTGATAGATGTGCCACGCTTTGTCCACACCCCTGGGAGGACTGCCCCTTTCTGAACAGAAACAAAGCAGTGGGTATGGGGGAAGGGGAGTGCTTTTCTTTAAAGCGGGATGTTTGCTGTGTTAATGTTTCTTGTGTGTGTGTTTGTTTTTATCTGTGTTAGTATTTAGAAAGGAAGAATCCTGCTAATTTTGGTTATTGTTTGTATAATGTTATCTTCTTAATTACAAGGAAAAGCACAATTTTTTGTCCCTTTTGCTCATTTTATTTTTTTTTCATTTTATTTCTGAGGGATTTAGATCAAGGATTACAAATGATAATAAGACTGTATGTTTAGCTTTATTTACATATGTTTATCAAAATACTTAGCAGGTGCTTTAAGTAATCCATTCTGCCAATGGCTCAAAGTGTGTAAAGTCAAATATTGTTGTCAGATGTCATTCTCTTGCAGACCCCTTGTTCCTTCTGTTATTTTCTTGTTGCCAACAGCGTGTAAAACAAAGCACAGCAGAGGCTTTTCCTGAAGGATAGTTTTAGCTGTGGGGAGAAAATGCAGCCAGCGCTATGTAAAGAGTAGTGTTATGGCTCTGTGAGGAGACGGTCATCTGTTACATAGCTTCTTTTCTCATAAAGGAGGCAGAGGATATAAAGCCTGAGACAGTTCTCAGTGTGTATGCTACAAGCCATTAGTTGGCACATAGGCTGAGGCAGTGCGTGAAGAGCAGGTGTTCTTTGTTGGGTTGCCTGGGTTTTAGCCGTAGTTCTCTCTGTTGACTGTAGTCTGCTACGTAGTGTTTGGAGGGCTGATTTGTGTAGGAAGCAGCCAGTCAAAACAAGGATGCCATTCCTTAAGGATCCTTTGTATGCTGGAACATAGCTTCTTATTTCTGCATTGTGGGGGTGTTCTCAACAGGGGATTAGGCAGTGGAAAGGGCAAATGAACTGAAGTGGGTGGAACTAAGTCACCAACCACAAGGAAAAACTTGAGTGCTTCAGTAACAGGTATACATAAGTTTGTGACTGGGTTTATAGTACCAGACATAAATTCCTTCCTGTGGATTAGACCTTAGATTCAATCAAAAATGATCGGATTACCCCCAACAGACTTGCCACTGTTGTACCAGTGGGTACGTTTTGCCTCACTGGATGTTAGTGTAGCACACAGGGTCTCTAACTGAATTCTATAGGTGACAGTTTACCTTCAGCAGCCAGTTGAGTACCTTCTAGCTATGGAAGCTGGTCAGCAGGTAGGAAGCTTATGATTGAGTTCCAGGTTGATTCTCTATGTCCTGCAAACAAAGCACATGGTGGCTTCAGCAATAGGGTTTTACCATTTGGTGGGCAAACAGCAGTAGTGGCTAAACCTTTCCACTCCTAGTATCCCCTTCCATTTCATATCACCTCACCTTTAAAGCCTTTTTCTTGTTCGTTTTTTTGTTGTTTCTTTGAGACAAGGTTTCTCTCTCACTGCCCTGGTTGTCCTGGCACTCACTTTGTAGACAAGGCTGTCCTTGAATTCACAGAGATCTGCCTGCCTTGCCTCTGCTGAGCTACCTTGCCCAGCTAAAGCCTCTTTTTATTACCCTCTCAAGGACTGCTTTCTAGTTTTCTGGCATTGCCATATTGATTTTTATTATTGTTGCTATATGCTAAATATCTGAAAATGTTCTTAAAGTTTAAATATATTATTGCTCTATTTTGTAACTACAATGGAGACAAATGGCCATCTAAATCGTCTGCATAATAGATACTTGGGAGTAATGTTTATATCTTGGAAAAATATTTGTAATAATGAAATTAAATGATATGATCATGATAATTTACAGTCTGGATACTCAAGTACTGTGTTTTTATCTCTTTCCTATGGTAACCCTCCTGGTAGTGTTTGTCTGAGCCATAGGACATTTCAGTTATTGTACTGCTTTCTGAGGTGATAACTGACCTGCTCTCAGTAAACTTCTACTCAGATAAGATAATGAATGTAAGATCTTATATGTAGTGTGACAAATAAACCTTTTGAAACTTTTATTGTCAATTCTTCATTAAATTTAAATACTTACTTTGTAAAGTGCTTGAAATTCTTTAATATACAGTATTTGTAAATGTGTTTTTTATTGCATTTTACTTCATAACTGAATATCTTTAAGGCCCAGTGTCTGTACTGTTGGCTTCTATGTCTGTTTATTTGATAGTGTACATAAGCGACCCCAAAAACTCTACCAAAGAACTCCTACAGCTGATAAACACCTTTAGTAGCGTGGCTGGATACAAGATCAACTCCAAAAAATCAGTTGCCTTCCTATACACTAAGGATAAGGAAACAGAGAGGGAAATCACAGAAGCATCACCTTTCACGATAGCCACAAAGAGCATAAAATATCTTGGGGTAACCCTGACCAAGGAAGTGAAAGATCTATTTGACAAGAACTTTAAGTCTTTGAAGAAAGAAATAGAAGAGGACACCAGAAAATGGAAGGATCTCCCTTGCTCTTGGATTGGGAGGATCAACATAGTAAAAATGGCAATTCTACCAAAAGCAATCTATAGATTCAATGCAATCCCCATCAAAATCCCATCAAAATTCTTCACAGATCTGGAGAAGACAATAATCAACTTTATATGGAAAAACAAAAAACCCAGGATAGCCAAAACAATTTTATACAATAAAGGAATGTCTGGAGGCATTACCATCCCTGACTTCAAACTCTATTACAGAGCTACAGTATTGAAAACAGCTTGGTATTGGCATAAAAACAGAGAAGTCGACCAATGGAATCGAATAGAAGACCCTGACTTTAACCCACAAACCTATGAACACCTGATTTTCGATAAAGGAGCTAAAAGTATACAATGGAAAAAAGAGAGCATCTTCAACAAATTGTGCTGGCACAACTGGATGTCAATCTGTAGAAGAATGAAAATAGACCCATATCTATCACCATGCACAAAATTCAAGTCCAAGTGGATTAAAGACCTCAATATCAGTCCAAACACTCTGAACCTGATTGAAGAGAAAGTGGGAAGTACTCTACAACACGTGGGCACAGGAGACCACTTCCTACGTATAACCCCAGCAGCACAGACACTAAGGGCCTCAATGAATAAATGGGACCTCCTGAGACTGAGAAGCTTCTGTAAAGCAAAGGGCACTGTTGCTAAGACAGAAAGGCAACCCACTGACTGGGAGAAGATCTTCACCAACCCCGCAACTGACAAAGGTCTGATCTCCAAAATATATAAAGAACTCAAGAAACTAGACCGTAAAAGGCTAATCAACCCAATTATAAAATGGGGCACTGAGTTGAACAGAGATCTCTCAACAGAAGAAGTTCAAATGGCCAAAAGACACTTAAGGTCATGCTCAACTTCCTTAGCGATCAGGGAAATGCAAATCAAGACAACTTTAAGATACCATCTTACACCTGTCAGAATGGCGAAAATCAAAAACACCAATGATAGCCTATGCTGGAGAGGTTGTGGAGAAAGGGGTACACTCATCCATTGCTGGTGGGAATGCAAACTTGTGCAACCACTCTGGAAAGCAGTGTGGAGGTTTCTCAGGAAATTCGGGATCAACCTACCCATGGACCCAGCAATACCAATCTTGGGAATATACCCAAGAGAGGCCTTATCACACAACAAAAGTATATGCTCTACTATGTTTATAGCAGCATTGTTTGTAATAGCCAGAACCTGGAAACAACCTAGATGCCCTTCAATTGAAGAATGGATGAAAAAAGTATGGAATATATACATATTAGAGTACTACTCAGCAGTAAAAAACAAGGACTTCTTGAAGTTTGCAGGCAAATGGATGGAAATAGAAAACACCATCCTGAGTGAGGTTAGCCAGACCCAAAAAGAGGAACATGGGATGTACTCACTCATATTTGGTTTCTAGCCATAAATAAAGGACATTGAGCCTATAATTCAGGTTCTTTGAGAAGCTAAATAAGAAGGAGAACCCAAAGAAAATCATATAGGCTTCCTCCTGAATATTAACCTTCATCAGGCGATGAAAGGAGACAGAGACCCACAATGGAGCACCGGACTGAAATATCAAGGTCCAAATCAGAAGCAGAAGGAGAGAGAGCACAAGCAAGGAACTCAGGACCGTGAGGGGTGCACCCATACACTGAGACAATGGGGATGTTCTATCAGGATCTCACCAAGGCCAACTGGCCTGGGTCTGAAAAAGCCCGGGTTAAAACCGGTCTCGCTGAACATAGTGGACAATGAGGATTACTGAGACCTCAAGAACAATGGCAATGGGTTTTTGATCCTACTGTACCTATTGGTTTCGTAGGAGCCTAGGCAGTTTCGTGGATGCTCACCTTACTAGACCTGGATGGAGGTGGGTGGCCCTTGGACTTCCCACAGGGCAGGGAACCCTGACTGCTCTTTGGGCTGATGAGGGAGGGAGACTTGATTGGGGGGGGGGGAGGGAAAGGGGAGGCGGCGGTGGGGAAGAGACAGAAATCTTTAATAAATAAATAAATAAAAATTAAAAAAAAAAAAACACTCCACAAGTGAGAGAGTCTCCATGGCACTGTGTGTCAGAGAAGACTACAGTGGTGCTCAGAGCCTAGACATCAGTGCTGCAGCAGGGCAGGGACCTATTTATGAAGGAGGAAAGGAGGAAAAGTAGCCATTTGGGCCACAGTCATCTTGTTCTTCAAGCTACACAATTTTTCCTTTGATTTCACAAGGATATGGGTTGAAGTGCCCACTTGTGTGTCAATGACTGCAAAAGATTTGTCAGTGGTATCAAAATGCTTGGTTTCTCTGAAAATCGTGGTCTTTTGGTAGTCATGGTAAGGGACTTCCTAAAGTAACTATCTGAAGAAGGGCAAAGGGTTGGAAGCAGACCTTTGGGTTGGCCAGTTCTTTAAACTGCTCTTTCCTGGTCCATAGGTAGTCCATGAACAAGCCCAGTCATCCCTGTAAAAATGTTTCCCCTCATTCAACAGGAAAAGAAGATGCCAAATGCCAGACAGCACAGAGTAACTGTCCAGGTAATCCTAGACCAGGAAGTCATCTATTAGTTCACCTACTCTCAGAAATTCCAGTGAAATTCAGTGAAAAACTCCTCAGCACCAACGCATTCTCTAGGGGCATTTAGCAATATATTTTGATGGATTCATAAAGCATGATTGCAGTGTAAGAGGAATGTTTTACATTAGACTGTTCTACAGGAATATACAATGGGGAATCATCATTTTTTATATGCTCTGTTTTTTTTTGTCCCTAGGGAAAGTAATACAGTTTGAAGGTGTGTCTCCATCCTACAGTCTCTGAAGCACTCTGTAGACGTGCTAGCATAGCTGCTCTCTTTGAGTACTCCTGACTCTGCCAAGATCTAACTGAAAGTACTGGCATTGCTCATGGTTATCATCCTTCCTTTTATGAATTATTAGCTACCTCCTCCCATAATTCATGAGCTCTTTTTGGTCTGTCTTCACCTTCCTTTAAGTAGTCCTCTTCGGGAGATTGAGAAGTTGGCAGGAAAGGTTTAGATAGTTTACTGCTTTTAGCTACTAGAGGTCTTTTCTAAATAATACCTGATGAAGGAAGCCGTCTTAAGTTATTCCATCATTGGGCGTCAGGACAGGAACTCAAGGTTGGAAACTGGAGGCAGAATTATGGAGGAACTGATTGCTGGCTCCCTCTCTGACTTGCTGGCTTGCTCTGTATATGTCCATTTAGATAGTCTTTTTGGGGGGCAGGAGGGGAAGGGAGAGAGGAGAGAGACCTGTTTTTCTTCTTCTTTTTTTTTTTTTTTTTTAATGAAAACCATTGGGGAAATGCTGGATGGTCTGTAAGTGTTCCCTTTAGATAGCATACTAAACTTATACACTTTTTGTTCAGGTTTTGCCTGGATCATCCCGTCAGAGTTGCTCACCTTCTGGCTTTCAGGATTTCAGTAAGTGGGAATCAGTATTGAAAATAAAAGAAGGACTTCTAAGGCAGAAGGAAATCGTAATTGATAGGTGAGTCTGCTTTTTAATTACTATTTTAGACTGTAAAAATGTAGATTAAGGAAACAATTACAATTGCATCCACTACTTAGAATTTGAAATTACAAATTAATGTCTCATATCTGCACTCTCCAGTCCCACAGCATGCGAGAGCTATCAGAACAGAGGGCTGGGGTGTGTGTGGTCTCTGACATGCTCTGTGTTTGCTTTAGTGAGACTCATTGTTTGGAAGATCGTCTTTACCTTTCTCCACATGCTGCATCCAGCTGTCAGAGCTGCAAGGTGATATCTTCATATTTGCCTTGGGATACTGCCAGATTTGGACAGCCACACTGAAGTTATGAGTTCTTTTGTCTGTTATATATTAGATTTGAGACCACATAATATGAAAAGGATATATTTTTAAATTTATATAGTCTAAAGTAGAATCATGGAAAGGTTTCTTTTATAACATTTAAAAGTTGTAATATTTTAGTGCCAGAATTATCCAGAATGATTTTTATAAGATTTAATAGAAACGTCTGAATAATAAATCATAAGGTTATTGTGTTATCTTTAAAATATATGGATGTACATCATTTATATATGCTTTTGAGATTGTCAAGGGTGATCATATTAAAATACTTTAGAAATTGTTTAAGGAGGATATTTTTTTCGTAGCCAGTGTTAATTGTTGCTTATTTTCGTGTGTAAAAGTAGTATAAGCAAAGAAAGTAAAAAGCTAGTTAAAAAGAGCTGGGAAAAATGGAGTGAAATATCATAAGCTGCCCAGTTTCTTAGAAAGGAGGGAGGAGAAGCAGTAGCTACTTCCAAAAGTAGTGTATTTTCTCCGCGTGGAGTTGAGCTAGGGGATTCAGCCTTCAAGGTAGGCTACTGAGGGCTGGAGCTACAGCTCAGTCCAGTAGTAGAATGCTTGGCTCATAAGCCCAAGTCCCTGGATTCAGTACCCAATACCATAAAGAGGGAAAAGAATACTAGTATTTCCTAAATGATCAAAATTTAAGGGAACTGGAAACAGCTCAGTTGGTGAGTACTTGCCTGGAATACATAGTACCGTTGGACTTTCTAAAACTGGGAACAATTAGAACACTTGTATTTCTTTGACTTGGAAGGTAGAGGAAAAGCATGAGTTCAAGGATATCTGTGGCTACATATTGAGTTTGAGGACCACCTGAGCTACATGTGGGAAAAGAGAGGAGAAAAAGGAAGGAGAGGAGAGGAGAGGAGAGGAGAGGAGAGGAGAGGAGAGGAGAGGAGAGGAGAGGAGAGGAGAGGAGAGGAGAGAGAGAATTTGAATAGAGTTGAAAATAGCAAACTTCTCAGAAGAGATACCCAAACCAAGACACAAATTACAACCCCGACAGCACAGAATCTACCAGAAACATGGGTGGGAGTTGGGTGGCAAAGCAACATGACTTCTTCAAAGGATCATAATTCTTTTAACTATGAGCTCAAATATATTGAAGTGAGTGAAAGGCCAGATGAAGTTCAAAAGTTTCTTGGTGAGAATGATGAAGATTAAGAAAGCAATTATAAACAGAGGACATGGAATCCTTGGAAAGTAACAACACAGAGGAAGAAGTCATCAAAATGGAGGGAAATGAGCAGTGTGGATGAAAATTCAGCAGTGGGGAGAAAAATTGAACTTGGAATTTAAAGTTCTGAAAAAAGTGTTAAAATGAAAAAAATCAAATAGAAAACAGCATTAATAAACTTGACTAGGCAGAAGAAAGGTCATCAAAATTGGAAGATGAAATTTTAGTATGTTAAAGTTAAAACCCTAGTTAGAAAAGGGGAGATGATATGAGATGTACTTCTGTATATATGTTGCTTTTATTGGTTGATGGATAAAGCTGTTTTGGCCAATGGCTTAGCAGATTAAAGATAGGCAGGAAGTCCAAACAAAGGTACAGAAAAAAAGTATGTGGAGTCAAGGAGATGCCATGTAGCCACCAAGAAGAGAGATGTCACTAAGATGAAAGAAGAGGCAGTGGAGAGACAGGAAAGGTAGAGGAGTGAAGTATTTTTTCTTTCTTTTAAATTATTGTTTATTTTTAATCTTCTTAAGCTTTCTTTTGGGGGGCACTTCAAGAGTGAGAGGAACTGGAGATGAGCAGGATTGGGGTGCATATGTGAAATTCCCAGAGAATCAATAAAAAAAAAGTCTCACTTATCAGCCTTACAAGGTAAAAAGGCCTGAAGACAGATGGTAATGGTGGCCTCACAGCAGTGTGGACATGCTTAAGGCCACTGGATTGTACACTTGAAAAAGTTAAAATGATAAGTTTTATGAGATGTAGATTTTTACCTCATTTTAAAATTTTTATATAAAATAAGTTTAAATAAATGTTTATTCCCCCCAAAAGAAATGGTAAAATTGTATTTTTCCATATAAAAGAGTAAAATTAGATCCTTCCCCCTATAAAACTAGCAATTCAAGAATAATGGAATACATGTGATAAGAAAGCTTGAGGAGGGAAGGTAAGGAACCAGACATAGGGCTCAGAAGACCCAGGGGAGGGACTCTGGGACGTGAACAAATGCCATGCTCACCAAAGAGGAAAACATGAATAGGAAAAGGGATATTGATGGTAACTTAGGATAAGTATCTGGCTTTGAGATGGACACTATTGTGAAGGAGCAGGGGTTATTTTGCATCACAATTATCAGTTAAATTTGAACATCTAAATACAATTTTCAAAGTTTACTTTTATTGTAGTTGTTTATATTCATGTTAGCCTTATAGAATCCATTATAGATTATTCATATTGTTCCCATCGCAACTGATCAGCTCTGTAGGTCAATTCTAACATCAGTGAGCAAGGATTAGATTCCACAGGATCAAAGACTTGGTCCCCAGTAATCTTTTCTTTGCTTCACATGCCAGCCACAGGTGAGACCTTAGGCCAAGGCCACACATGTCTCTGGCATTTATCACAACTATGTTAACAAAAGAAAAATAATTTAACATAGCTTGGAATTTAGTGCAGGAAAATTAGAATATGTAAAAATTTAGTTGGCGAGAAAATTTTTAAAAAGAAACAATGTTTATCTGTTAGTTTTTGCAACAGTATGTTTATCTGTTAGTTTTTGCAATAGTATCTGTACTTTATTAAATTTTCACTGAAAACTGGTTTCCATTGAGGAATTTTGAACCTGTAGTTCAGAAATTGATACATAGCTCTTCATTTGTTTGCACACACATATTATACATGTTATCATTCGGTTGTGGGTAACTTATTCCAGTCTTGCCTTTTATTCTTTTGTTTGTGTATGCGCTTTCATGTGTGTGCATGTATGCATGTGTGTATAGGTACATGTTTATAGGTAGTGTGCTTAAATGTGTTTGGGGGGGGCTGAAGTTGATCGTAGGTGTCTTCCTAGCCCCTTCTCCATTTTATTTATTGAGGCAGGATGGCTAACTGAACCAAGGACTACCTGATTTCAGCTTGTTGCACAAGTTCTAATTGGTCTTAATAATAAAAATCCAGAGCTAGATATCAGGGTAAATGCTGAAAGATCAGAGAGCCACAGCCAACTTGTACCTCATCCAAAAAAAGGGCCAAGCTCTTGTCTCTTCCCACCTTATATTACTCTCTCTGCCCAGCCATATCACTTCCTGTCTGTGTACAGACCTCCAGACTTCTATGGTTAATTAGTGGCTAGCTCTGCCCTCTGAACTTTAGGAAGAGCACAAACATCACACCAGCTAGTCTAGCTAGCCAGCTTTCCCTGGGAATCCTGTCTCTGCATCCTAAATGCTACAAGCAGCTTCCATGCCTGCCTGACATATACATGGTTCTTGGAATTTTAACTCTGTTCTTCATGCTTAGGTGGAAAGCATATATTGAGTTATCTCCCTAGCCCTGTGGTTCTTTTTTTTTTTCCACATAGGAAAAATGTTTGATTAACTAATTTCCCCCAGTGGTTGAGATGAGACAAAATTTTTACACACCTTTTAAAAAGTAGTAGAATACTAAGATTTCTCTGCATTATTTTCTAGGAAAGTATATTCTTTATAATGTAACTTCAATTTATGTTTTACAGGCAGAAGCAACAAATTAACCACTTACATGAAAGGATAAGAGATAATGAACTACGGGCCCAACATGCCATGCTGGGGCATTATGTAAATTGTGAAGAATCTTACATGAGCAGTTTGCAGGTAAGACTAGAGAACTCTTTTGATTTTGTAGTTATTATTAAATCTGTTCTTTGTATGTACTGTGTTTATAATATCAGAGCACCTTAAATCAATATTTTGTGTAGTATGAGAGGGCCTGCTTTTGGTCCCGGCCACCCTGCTAGCTTACACCCCAGAAATAACCACACAGACTGTTTTTTTCTGCCTGGCCCATTATTTCTAGCCTCATATTGGCTAACTCTCACATACTAGTTTAACCCATCTCCATTAATGTATATCGCCACTTGACTGTGGCTTACTGGCATGAGTCTAACCAGTGTCTGTCTTGGGCAGGAGAACCATGGCATCTGCCATGCTGCCCTTCTTCCCAGAATTCTGTTCTGTCATCCCTGCCTACCTGAGTTCTGCCCTATCAACTAGGCCAAGGCAGTTTCTTTAATGACCATGAAAGCAACACAAATACAGAAGGACCTCCTACACCAGTTTTGAAATAACAGTGAATTTGCATAGTTCATGTTTGTAAAAGGTGCTCAACTACTTTCTTCCTTTGTCCTTTTCACACCCTGTCCCCCATGCACACAGAATAAGCTGTCATCAGTCCCTGGGGTATCGCTCCACAGTTGATGCGTACCATAGACAGATACAATGCATTTTAGTTCTTTATGTTTACAAAATGCTTAAAAATATGTACATTGTTTTTTACCTGGTACCATTATTTATATAATATAGAATTATACAAAATATACTAATTACTTCTATATCATTTTACATAAACCACTCCACTTTTGTTTTGTGGCTGTATGGTTTTTCTATTTCATAATTTATTCAACCATCTCTTACTCATTAAAATTAAAGTTTGCCATTTTGGTATATTATAAATGATGTTGCAAAGAGTAACTTTTTATAAATAGAGTTTTGTTCCCACATATATCTCTGTAGCTAAAGTTCTGAGAAATGATGTTTCTGTTACACATATTCGTATGTGTATGTTTAAATGGAGACTCTGCATATGGCTTACTTTTTCTAGTATGATGTTCTTGTTTCATCCATTTTTCTACAAATAACAGTTTCATTTTCTTTCGAGTTGAACAAAACTCCATCTTGTATACATGCATTTCCTTGTTCATCTGTTGATTGAAATTTAGCTTGGTCTCATATTTTGACTATCGCAAGTAGTGCAGCCATAACCTTGGGCATAAAATGTCTCTGGCTTAGCTTCCTTCCTGCTGGGGTGGTAGTGCTAGATCATATGTCAGTACTGTTTTTACTTTTTTGGAGAACCTCCGAACTGTTTTCATTGTGGCTGCACCTGTTTGTATCCCCACCACTGTGCTTAATGGGTCTTCTTTCCCAGCCTTGCTGGCTTTTTAAAATGTGTTAGCCATTCTGATTGGAGTGAGATAGAATTTTATTGTATGCTTTTCCCGACAACTAAGGTTTTGATCATTTATTCAAGTATTTATTAGTCATTGTATTTTTCTTTTGAAAACTGATCATTTGTTCATTTATTAATTGGTGAATTTGTTATAATTTTGTTGTTTTATTTTATTTTGATTTTTTTAGTTTCTTTTAAATTCTATGTGTAAATTTATTGTTGTTTGCTGCTGAAAATTCTGTTTCATATTTTCTTTGTCAGTTTCTACAATTGTTTCCTGAGCTGTTGGCATCCTTTTCAAAAGCTCTTGCCTGTGCTTATATCTTTGGGTGCTTTTATTTTTTAGCATTTATTTGCTACTGTGTGTATATGTGTGCCCCTGTGAGTATGTGTGGTCAGAGGACAAGTTGTAGGAGCAGGTTTTCTCATCTTGTGGTGTGGAGAATCAAACTCGGGTTAAAACATGGCAGTAAGCACCCTTTCCTATTGAGCCTTTCACCAGCCCTATCTCTAAGTTTCAGAGTTTCAGGTGTGACATTAAGGCTTGAATCCATATTTTAATTCATTTATATTTAAATCGAGAGGCACATACCCAGTACAGTTTGGTGTAAGTAAAATCCAAGTCTTTTAGCACCATTTTGTTGAAGAGTCTCTTTTCTCCAACCTATGTTTTTGTTACCCTTGTCAAAAGTTGGGTGGCCGTAGCTGTGTGTATTTATTCTTGTATTTATTCATTTTATCTTGTACACATGTTTGTGTGCCAATATCAAGGTAATTTTATTACTGTGGATCTGTAGTATGACTTGAGATTAGCTCTCATGGGTCCTTTGACATTGCCCTTTCTATTTAGGATTATTTTTCCTATTTAGGCTATTTAGTGCTTTCTTACACCATTTCCTTTTTTCTTAGTTTTGTGAAGAATGATAGGATTTTGTTTATTTTTTGTTTTTTCTAGACAGGGTTTCATTGTGTGGCTCTGTCTCTCCTGGAACTCATTCTGTAGACCAGGCTGGCCTCAAACTTACAGAGATCCACCTGCCTCTGCCTCCTGTGTACTGGGATTAAAGACTTGTACCACCATTGTTCAGCAAGAATTTTTTCTCTTAAATTAAGGATTGTTAAATGTGTCTCAGTTAGGGTTTCTATTGCTATGAAAAGACACTATGACCAAGGCAACTCTCATAAAGAAAACATTTAGTTAGGGTGGCTTGCTTACAATTTCAGAGGTTCAGTCATTACGGGGAGCATGGCGACTTTCAGGCAGATGTGGTGCTTGGGTCGTCGCTGAAAGTCCTACATCTTAAAATGAGTTTTTGACATCTAGGAATAAAGACCTTAACAACAAATAACAAAAATAATTCCACAAACAGAAGAACTATCTCAAGGAAATGTTCATTTCTCTCTTTTTAATCCCAATAAAAAGGATTTTTCTTTGGGAAATAAATAGGTCTATTATAAAGTACATATAGAAAAATATGCAAGTGAGTTTTAAGAAAAAGACTCTTAAAAGGGAGAGAAATAATTGACAACAATGGCCCTATAAGTTTTAAGACATCAGCAATGCTACATCTATATTCCCACTGGATTATACAGACTAGGCTTATTCACAATTTTATTCCCAAGTCCGGAAGTTCCTTTATTGTATAGGATTGTTTTGGCTATCCTGGTTTTTTTTTTTTTTCATACAAAGTTGATTATTGTTCTCACAAGGTCTGTGAAGAATTTTGTTGGGATTTTGATGGGGATTGCATTGAATCTATAGATTGCCTTTTGTAGAATTGCCATTTTTACTAGGTTGATCCTACCAATCTAAGAGCATGGGAAATTCTTCCATTTTCTGGTATCCTCTTCAATTTCTTTCTTCAAAGCCTTAAAGTTTCTATTTTTTAGATGAGTAAATCAAGACATAGTGATACTGATTTTCTTTAACCATGCTCTGTATATAGGAGACAGAAGAGGTAGGCTTTAGTTTGAGGACAGTCTGATTCTAGAGCTTATAGGTTTTGCACTGTAGCCCCGTCCCATTTTGTGTTTATTTGTTAAAGACAGGTAAACTTCTGAAGACTTATCTGCCATTATTTTTCCCAATAGCCACAATATGAGAACAGTTCAGTCCAGACTCCATTTTCGGAGCAGTCATTGTCCCATCCCCAGCAAGAGGAACTTGAGCAAAAGCTAGCATCTACTGAGAAAGAAGTGTCACAGCTCAATGAGTTTCTTAAACAAAGAATAAACCAATTTAGTGAAGAGAAGAAGAAATTGGAGGAAAAGGTGAGTATCTTGTGTAAGATTGTGGTGGATCAACAGCTTTTTTCAACAAACAATGATTGTTTGTAATTTGCCCATTTCAACTGCTCTATCAGGTTATACATTTATATTATAGTAATTAGTGCTATATGTACCAACTTTCAAAAATCTTGTGCTATCGTCAAAGATTTAAGGATCTTCTTGAGGCGTAAAAGTCTTTATTATACTTTACTAATAGTGAAACTACTTAAAGCCAGATGCCTTCACCACTGCGTCTTCATTTAACTTCTTCTCATTCCTTGTTTCTTGATCTCATTGACTATAAATTATTAGAATATTAAGTGAAGCCTATTGCCAAAAACTTGTCTTAAGCTATTAAGTTGGAGCCCCTTACCCTGAATAATACATATGTGGTTTTGTGTATCTCTAAAAGACGTGTGAACCACAAATGAGAGGAAATACTAAGTATTTATCTTTCTGAGTCTAGTTTAATTTACTTAATGTGGTAATCTCCATTTGCATCTATTTTACTTCAAATGACATAATCCCATTCTTTATGGCTGAATCAAACTTCATTTTACACACACACACACACAAAAGCGCATGCTCGCGCGCGCGCGCGTGTGTGTGTGTGTGTGTATGTGTGATATGTCTGCATGTATGTGTTAAAACATCACATTGTCTTCATCCATCTGTGGATCGACACCTAGGACGGTCCTGTATGTTGTCTGTTGTGAATAATGCTGTAATAAATATGCAGGTTTTTCTGTGGGGTGTTGACTTAGAGTTGTTCAGGTATATGCTCAGGAGCAGTTTAGGCTGGATGATATTGTAATTCCATTTTTAGTTTTATGGGTAACTACCATACTGTTTTCCATAGTGGCTGGACTAATTTAAATTTTCTCCACTTCCCCCACATCCTCATCACTGGTCTTGTAATTTGTTTTCTTTATGGGAGCCTTTCTGAGCAGGGTGAGATCTAATCTCATTATAGTTTTAATTTGCATTTCCCTTATGTGTTAAGGATGTTGAACCTTTTGTTTTCACATATTATCCATTTGGACTTCATCTTTTGAAAATAACCAGTTCATTCATCTCATTAGCCTGTTTATTGACTGAGTTGTTTGTCTTTTAATTGACCTTTGTTGTGAAGGACTTTTTGTGCGAGATGTGCAAGCTAAAGTTAGGAGAGTCAAATGAATGTACAAAGTCTGAAGTTAAACCTGTACAGATTGGGTCTTTCTGAAGTTCTCTACTCTTGTTCTACAGTAAATGTTAACTTCACATAATACCTCAGCCCTAGAGTGGCCTCAGTAGTGAGTCACCTTTATATTATAGAGTGTTAAGAAAGAAAATGTGATACAAGTTCATTTATGGTACGATATAAAAATATTCTTGCTTGAAGTACATAAATTGACTCACTTAGCCTGTTAATCTGTTTTAAATATTTGGTAAGTTCTCCTGGCTTAGTAAGTTGTTAGTAACAAAATAACTGATGTATCTGCTTTTCTTAGCTCATGTAAAGTGTTTTGACATAGCTTTGAAAAATGTGAAATTAGAATCTGTCCTCTAGAGAGGAATATTTGCTTTGATGATTTAAAAAATACTTGTAGCTTCATTTCTGTGTCTTTGTCTCTGTCTCTAATAACCTTTTAAGAGAGTTAAATTAATTAGTTTAAATATAATTTAAACTCAATACAGTTTTAGCATGAGCATCACATTATTGATGTGATAAAGATATAAATAGCATTATCCAAATTTATACATGTATAGGTAGTAAAAATTTGATCATTAATGCCACATGACTTAGTACAATTTAAAAATGCCATCACTTGTAAAAGTAAACAAATATCTTCCAGATTATTTCAGAGCTATAAAAGTTTCAAGGGAAAAAAAATCTTAGAATAAAATAAGGCCGATCTTAACTCAGCTGATGATGTTTACTGTAATCTGATACTCATTGATAAATTTAGTGATACCCAGGAATGGAACACTGATTTTGTAATTTTTAGTAACTCAAAACAATAAATAATTGAGGATTTATAATGTTTTCCTTTAGCTGAAAACCAGAGATAGATACATCAACAGCCTGAAAAAGAAATGCCAGAAGGAAGCAGAGCAAAACAAAGAAAAGCAGAGAAGAATTGAGACATTGGAAAAGTATCTGGCCGATCTTCCAACTCTAGATGATGTACAGAGTCAGAGTCTACAGGTAACATGGTCACACATGCACCTTTGAAATGCTTGCAACATGTTTTAGAAACTAGCTACTTAGAAATTACATACTCAGTTGCTGCTCCTGAGATAGTAGATTCTAAAACTGTTCAAAGAGTAAGTAGATCTCTCTTCTGTTGTTAATATGTGATTACCTTTGTAATAAACCTATCTGGTAACTGTCTTACTTAGCATTCTATTTTTAAACTTTTTTATTTATTGCATGTATGTGTAATGTGTGTATGGAGGTCAGAGGACAGCTTCATGAAGTGGGTTATGTTCCTCCCTTTATGTAGGTCCCAGGCTTTAAACTCAGTTGTCAGGCTTGTACTGCAAAACACCCTTATCTGCTGAGCCATCTCTTTAGCCCCTAGCATTCTATTTTAAAAGGTGGTGGCTTCTAAGCCTAGCTATTAACTTTACCTCGTAGCTCCACATTCACATTTGGAGTTCTGTCCAATGTTCTCTGGGTTTCAAGGCTCAAGATAGTGATACCCAGGAATGGAACACTGATTTTGCAATTTTTAGTAGCTCAAAACAGTAAATAATTGAGGATTCATAATGTCTTATGAATATCTTTACAGATGTTTATTTTCTTCAGTTCTTAATCTTGCTGTAATCTTTAACATTCCTTGATCTATAAGCTCTCTTCTCTCCTCAGACTTCTATTTTCCTCACTGAGTCTCTTTACCGGTTCAGCTGAAATCTTCTTAAAACATGAATTCACTTCAGTTATCTCCATCCTTCCAAGCCAGGGTCTCAACCTTGGCACAGAGACAAATTGGGGAGCAGTTGTTCTTTGCTGTCTGCGAGAAGCAGTTCTTGTAAGAGTCCTTCTGGCCTCTGCCTCCTAGATGACCACGGTGCTGCTTCTCTCTTCCAGCACAAATAATGAGCATTTGTCAGTTTCTCGCGGAAGTAAAAATATCTCCAGCTGAGAATTGTTTACATAATTTTAGGATGCATATAGACAGAAAATTAGTTTATGAATTATGAAAGTAAGAGATTAAATATAGGGAGGCACTAAAGGACCATAGGAGATAACATGAGCAGGATGAGGCAGGATTAACAATACCTGACACCCATTTAGGATAGCCATTACCAAGATTCATGGTGTTCAAAGACCCTATTTATGACAGTTATTTACAAGAATCAAAATACAGAATCAAGAAGGTGACCACAAATGGATGAATAGATATAAAATAGATAGTACACATAAATAGAACGGAATATTGTTGGGTCTTATAAAGGAAGGAAATTCTGATATACTCTTCAGCATGGATAAACCTGGAGATCATTTTATAATAAAGTAAGAATAGTAAAATAAGGCAGTCATAAATAGGCAATATTATATGATTATATTATATGAGATTCAAAAGCCATTAAATTACAGAGACATAGAAAGTAGTGTTGCAGGATACCATGGAGTGGGGTAAATAGTGATTGCAAAGAAATTGAATGGGTCCAGTTCTAAGAATTGTCACGATGACAGTCTGGATGTACCCAATCATGAAGAGTCATACAGCCAAACTTGGTTATATTATGATGTTAATTTTATGTTTTTTATGTTTTACCACACTTAAACATTTTAAAAATTACGGACCTTTCTATGTTCCAGAAATGTTACTCAGTTTTCTGCTTCATAATCCGTTCTCCCAGTTCTTTCAAATTAAGGAAGAAGCAGTGTGAAGTTCTTTAGATAAAATACTGAATGACTATAAGCAATAAGTCTATTTAACTCTGAGAAGAGTAGTAATTTAATGGCAGTATATTTAGTATTGCATGCAATTCAAACTGTAAATATTTTTCCTTAGCTGCAAGTTCTTGAAGAAAAAAACAAGAATTTGCAAGAGACTTTGATAGACACAGAGAAGAAGCTTGAGGAGATTAAGAAGCAATGTCAAGAGAAAGAGATGCAGCTCCTTTGCCAGAAGAAGAAGGAAAAGGAGCTGGTGACTTCTGTGCAGAGGTAGGGGACCTGCTATGGCTTCATGCTCTTCAGCTTGCCAATACCATCATAAAGTGTGTTCTATGTAAGCAGTACAACTGAATCTACAGCAGCGGTAGAGCATACTTCTTACCTGAGTATCTGCCTTAGAAAGGCGCTATATGAATTTATCAAAGCTAATGGATTCAGTTGTAATTTGATATTTTGAAGCATTATAGGGGCATCTTGCCAAAATATCATTGCAAACTCTTTAGTTGAAGGTTTTATCAAAACAAGCAAAAATTCTAAGCAGCAGAAAATAACCTGGAGGCCAGGCAGTGGTGGAGCATACCTTTAATTCCAGCATTCAGTAGGCAGAGGCAGGTGGATCTCTGTGACAGGTCCCAAAGATACAGAGAAACTGTCTCAAAAACAAAAACAAAAACAAAACAAAAGAGAGAGAGAGAGAGAGAGAGAGAGAGAGAGAGAGAGAGAGAGAGAGAGAGAGAGAGGAGAGAGAGAAAGAGAGAGAAAATAACCTGGAAAACACACTGCACTCCTTCCTGGAGAGTGCACCGAAGGTGACTGATGGGCTGTTTTCATCTCACTGTGAGTGGCAGATTTTCATGTGCTTTCCAGATCCACCTGCACATCTCGCCTCATTTCACACTTTGAAATCCAAGTCTCCAGTGACCAGCATTTGTTGGTCTGCTCAGCTTGTACTAAGACTTGGAAATTTTTTTTATAAACCTAGAAAACTAATACATACATAAGTTCATATTATTTTTATAACCTTTAAATCTTGTTATCAATCATGAATAGATTGAACTATCTGAAAGAGCCAAATAATAAAGCAGCAAAAATCCTGAGTGCGAGAAATCCAGTCTTCATGAGTATGTTAATACTGCTTTACTCTCTAGTTTTTAAACATGAAATTTACTCAGTTTATTGTTTACTCTGAGGTTTCAGTATAGTAAATGCTCTGATTTCTGTTTTTTTAAACAGAAAAGTTCTTTTTTTTTAAGGTTTATTTATTTATTGTGTATACAGTGTTCTGTCTACATGTTTGCCTGCAGGCCAGAAGAGGGCACTAGATTCAATTATAGATGGTTGTGAGCCACCATGTGGTTGCTGGGAATTGAACTCAGGACCTCTGGAAGAATAGCCAGTGCTCTTAACTGCTGAGCATTTTCTCCAGCCCCCTGATTTCTGTTCTTGATATCAGTTCCCAAAACTGTCACAATTTTGAGTTTACATTTTTTCCTAGTGTTTTTCTTTCTCACACTTTAATTATTTTTTTAAAACAATCTTTTTTGTTTTGTTTTGTTTTACATACCAAACCTAATTTTCTCTCCCCTCCTTCCACTTCTCCTACCTCCCCTGTCCCATCCACTCCTCAGAGAGGGTGAGACCTCCCATGGGAGTCAACAAAGTCTGCCACATCACTTGAGGCAGGACCAAGCCCCCTCTCCCCCATCTAGGCTGAGCAGGGTATCCCTCCATAGGGAATGAGCTCCAGAGAGCCAGTTCATGTACCAGGGATAAATACCAGTTCCACTGCCAGTGACCCCACGAACTGCCCAAGCCACACAGCTGTCATCCACATTCAAAGGGCCTTAGTTTAGTTTGGTCCTATGCAGGTTCCCCAGCTGTCAGTCTGAAAACCATGAGCTCCACTAGCTCTGGTCAGCTGTTTCTATGGGATTCCCCATCGTGGTCTTGACCCCTTTGCTCATATTATCATTCCTCCTCCTTTACTACTGGACTTGAGGAACTCAGCCGGTGCTTGGCTGTGGCTCCCTGAATCTGCTTCCATCAGTTATAGGATGAAGATGCTGAGGGATGGGGAAGGTTGAGTTGTGGGGATATCAGAGAAGGAGAGCAAGAAAAGAGACATCTTGATAGAGGGAGTCATTATGGGGTTAATGAGAAAGGTGGCCCTAGGGAAATTCCCAGGAATTGACAAGAATGACCCCAGCTAAGAATCTAAGCAATAATGGAGAGGGTGCCTGAACGGCCCTTCCCCTCAGATTGATGACTACCTTAATTGTCATCACTTTAATATTTTGGGTTTTTTTTTTGTTGTTTCTTTTTGTTGTTGTTGTTGTTGTTGTTGTTGAGATGGGGTTTCTTTTTATGTATGAATCCATAATTTACACCAACTTCGTAGTCTTAAAAAAACTTCCTGATTTTCACTAATTTGAACATTTTATCCTTGTTGACAAAATTAAAAATAGTGCGTGAGTTCTGTTTTGTAGGCCACTGTGGTTGAAGAAACAAAACTGTGGTGCTTGGAGGCTTCATAGCAGCTCTGGAAGATTACTGAGTGCTGTTTTGTCCCACTGTTTTCTTTTGCAGATTGGTGTTATTTTCTGTGTTCTCTTTTGTTAGGTTTTATAGAACACTAAGCCACAAATGCTTGATTTGCAAAGATTAGTATAATGTATTCCAGAAAACATTTTCCACTTTAAATTTTATCTTGAGGCTGATAGAGATAATATCTTAGAAGATTCCTCTTGCTTTTTGGTAAAAGTTTATTTTTAATTCTCCAGTATTTGTATTGACAGTGACATCACTTAATGTTGAGGGGTAGGAATTTTATTTACGTTTACTTGGCTCTAGGATATTTCTTATATTTTGAAAGAACTTCATATGTATGTGTGACTACAAATTATATTATTACATTTTATTTAATGTTTCTAATATTTTGTTTTTTAATTTTTAAGAAATTCATAAACTCAAAAAGCTTTTCATTAGAAATGAAAATGTAAAATATATAATAATTTCTTTTTTTTTTTTTTTTTTTTTTTTTTTTTTTTGAGACAGGGTTTCTCTGTGGCTTTGGAGCCTGTCCTGGAACTCGCTCTGTAGACCAGGCTGGTCTCGAACTCACAGAGATCCGCCTGCCTCTGCCTCCCGAGTGCTGGGATTAAAGGCGTGCGCCACCATTTATTAGTTCCACTTTCCAAAAGTTTTCTTACTTTTGGAAATGGCCTTTATGTAATCCAAATATGAATGCATGAAAGAAAATTTGGTATGGACAGCAACATCATACAGTGTTCCTTATTGTTGGCTCTTCTTTACATTTTAAAGATTTGTGTGTTCATGTGGGCCCATGTCTGTGTGGCAGCCAGGGGTCAACTTGTGGTATCATTCCTCTGGAGCTGTCCACCTTGGTGATTGAGGCAGTGTTTCTCGGTGGTCAGAAACTTCCTAAGTAAACTAGACTTGCTGTCAGTGAGGCTCAGGGTTCTGTCCGTTTCCACCTCCCCAGTGCTGGTTTACAAGCTGTTCTGCTATACTTGCTTTACTAACATGGGCTTCAGGGATAGAAGTCAGGTCTTTGGGCTTGTACAGGCTGAGTTACCTCCCCAAATGCAAGCATGTTTACTTTTTAAAGTGCATTTTATCCTCTTGTAATGCCATTGAGTACATGGAATATAGTGCCAACACCAAGATGGCAAAATATAATGCACTTGTAATTTGAAAAAGTAAATACTTCTTACAACAATTAACAATGTCTTACAAAGCAGTGCACCATATCAGGACCACATAAATAAATACTAATGTCATTAATTATAAATATACCTGTAGTCCTTATTCAGACACCTAGTGTTACCAGTTCTTTTTCCACAACCTCAGTAGTATCAGTTTTCTTATTGAAGAAGACAGCTTCAGATTGCTATAATACTTGAAAAAAAGAAAAAATAAAATCAGAGTTATAGGAGAATTTTTTTTTCAGTCTTCTGCAGTTTGTTTATTTTGAGACAAGGTCTTACCATATGTAGCCTTGGCTGACCTAGGACTCACTGCTTAGCTCAGGGTGGCCCAGAACTCACAACAGTTCTTCTATTCCAGCTTTCTGAGTACTAGGTTTCCAATTAGACGCTACCATGCCTAGAAGATGTTGCAATTTTTGAGACTAATTCTTTTTTTTCTCTCCAGCTGTTATTGTTTGGTTTTGGTTTTTATTGTTAATGGCATGGTCTGCTTGTACCAATTACTAATCTTTCATTCTGATGGCTAACATCTTGTTTCCCTGTACTTTTACTTTTGTTTACTGAGAAAGTTTTTTCCATACAGTACATTTTGATCATTTTTTTTCCTTTTCCCCAGTTTCTAGTTTCCTTCCAGATTCTCCACTTGCCTACATACATACATACACACACACACACACACACACACACACACACACACACACACACACACACAGACATACACATACGCACACACAGAAATCAAAATAAACAAGCTCCAGACCAGTAAGAAAAAAAATGCCCAGGCAAAGCAAAATGAGATGAGCCTAAAAGAATATCATTGAGTTTATTTTGTGTTGCCAGCTATTCCTAGGCATGGGGTCTGTCCTTATGTGGGGTAGATATACCCAGTGAGACTGGGTTGGAAGAAACTGACATATTGTTAATATGTCAGAAGAACTTCCTTTGTCATAGGCAGCATGACAAACCTAAGCTGGTGGCATGAAAAACCACATTCTTATGTTGTTGGGAGGCTACTTGTTTGTTCCTGACTGCTTAGCCCTGAAATAACCACACAGAAACTTTATTATTTAAAACACTGCTTGGCCCATTAGGTCAAGCTTCTTATTGGCTAACTCTTACATATTAATTTAACCCATTTCTAGTAATCTGTGTATCGCCATGAGGCCGTGGCTTACCGGGCAAAGTTCCAGTGTCTGTGTCTCTGGTGGGGCTACATGGCTTCTCCCTGACTCTGCCTTTCTCTCTCTTAGCATTCAGTTTAGTTTTCCCTGCCTAACTAAGTTCTGCCCTATCAACAGGCCAAGGTAGTTTCTTTATTCACCAATGGTATTCACAGCATACAAAGGGAATCCCTCATCATTCTTCTACATCCTTATTAATTCTGTTGATTTGGCAACAATAATCCCTATAACCAAACTTTCACTATACTCAGAGAAAAGGCACGGACATATCTACATTCTTAATCTCTCTACCCTACTTATCTTGGTCAAGTAATACTCTACTGAACTAATGTTAAAGTAATACTCATCTTGGGAAAAAGGAAAGAACGGTTAGATCACAGAGTTCAGCTTCATGAGATAGACTTCAGTGGGACCTAGGGATGCCACACTGTAAGCATCCCCAACTCCAGATTTGCCATTTCTAAAATGATGGCCAGCCTCTGTCTAGTAATGATCTCTTCTTAGTTTTGTAAAATACATAGCTATTTGTATATTTTCTGTGAATCTTCATTGTTTGATTAAAAAAAATAATTCTTCATGAAATTGTTTTCTTCTAAACAACAGCTTACAACAAAAAGTAGAAAAATGCCTTGAAGATGGAATACGCCTTCCCATGTTGGATGCGAAACAGCTCCAAAGTGAAAATGACAATCTCAGAGAGCAGAATGCAACTGCCAGTAAGGTTAGTAGACACTGAGAGTAGAGGTCACATCTGTTCTGTGGAGTATGTGTATCTTAGAGTTTTCATGTGATTTATAATTTTAGTGATATTTAATAGCTTATAAAATATTTAGTTTGCTTTGATTTAAAAAGAAGATATCAGTTTAATATATTATAAATTATTTAAACTTAAATAAAAGTCAAAACAAAAGGAGACATTTTCTGATAAATTATTCAAAGTCTGTCTCAAAGTTATTTTTATAAATAAAAAATGTCATTACAAATTACAGGAAAATATTTGCAGTTTTAATTATGGGTGGTCCAAGTCATCCTTGTGATTTGAAGGATATTTAACTATGAATGCTCTGTAAAATAAAGATATTATAAATAAGCTTTTCTTTTTTGAATTTTCTTGAAGTATTGATGCTCTTTTAAAGTAATGAAAAAGATTCAGACCAGTTTTTTTGCTGTGTTTTAGATAATAGAGAGCCAGCAGGATGAAATTAACAGAATGATTTTAGAAATTCAGGTAAGGAATGTTCTTCATGTATTTTAGTGTACCCATATGCTAATGTATTCTTATTGCCTCTATTACCTAAAAGTATTAAAGTATATGAATATATATGAAAATATAATACTAATAGTACCTGAGAAAAGTTATAAATTTTTTAATATTAATCTGAGCAGAATCCATATTGTACATGTGTGCATTTGTGAAAGACCAAAATTTACTAATAAGTAAAATTCTGTTTGGTGAGCCAGTTCTCCCGAGGGGTAGTGAGACTGTTTCCTCCTCTTTGCTGCTTTCTTCATCGTCTCTCTCAGATGCTGAGAATGCGTTTGATTGAGGTCTCCAGAGATCAATCATAAGAGAGAATGGAATGCTATTAGTCTAAGTATTTAGTTTTCATATACTAGTTCCATTCGGAAACATACTCCAGGCCAACTCTGCCCATTATTTGCTCTTTTCCTCCACTGAATTTTCTTCAGAAGTCTGTAATGTTTTCTCCATTATCCCCTTGGTCCTACTTAATACTGAGATCTCTAATATCACTCTGTCTCTTTTGTTTTGTTTGCTGACATTGCTTCCTCTACTGCCATTGTACTATAGTGCCTATACTAGTCAGTTGATGCTCACCAATTACAGAAATAAAGTAGGGTTGTTATTTGTGGAATACTTCTATTATGTATCCGTTAAACAATCAATTCTAAGTATGAAATCCCCACAATCTGTTTTTATAGTTCTTCCCTCACTCCATATCCTGAACATGCCTACCATGTTTGTAAATATGCTCACAATACATCAGGAAATTTGAGTAAAAGCTGTAGTCCACTAAGTGCCTGTACCCTTCCAAGACTGCCCATCTGCAAACGTGCTCAGAGCATTGTTTAATGCAGCATGGAAACATGTTATGTCCCAGCCTTTGCCTAGAACTACAGTGCTCCCTTAAGTTTCCCTCTTCCTCCTAATGGCACTGTTGCTCTTTCTGTATCACCAAATGGTGAGGTGTTACAAGTTCATGTCTTTACATTTTACTGAGTTTTTTTTTTTTTTTTTGAGAATGATGCTCTGGTGGTTCAGCTTGGGAGTTAGGACTTATCAAAATTCTGGATACCTATGTACACTTTAAAAGTTTAGAAGCCAACCAATCTTTAATTCCTTTATTTTGTTTGTACTTATGAAGCCCTTATCTATATGGTGGACACAGTTCTTAAATTTCATGAGTGAGCAAACCAAGTCTCAAGTCAGTCTGATGGTTTAGGTTGGGAAAATTGGAAATTAAACATCAAGTCCTATTTTGATTTTTATTATAAAGTGCTGATTAAAGGCATAAGTATGACAGAGGGCAGTGACAGAGAGAGCTCCACATGAAAATGTGACCATGGAAGTTTTGTAAAGGAGGTAATATTTGAGCAGAGCTATTAGTGAAGATAAGTAGGAAAAGCGTAGCACCTGCTAAGGAAAGGAAGCAGCAGATGCCTTGAGTTGTCCAGTGTGCCCAGTACCAGCAGGGAGGCTGTTCAGTAGGGGCGGGGGGCATTGAAGCACTGAGATGAGTTGAAGGTGATGGAGGGAAGTAGCCTGGACACGATGATCCAGTGTTTAGATTTTATTCTATGTATAACAGAAAGCCATTGGACAGATTTTATTGAAGGATTTATTTTTAGAATCATACATTCTAATTCTAACAATGCTTCATTGGAGGTTCTAGCAGAGATCATAGTTACTTATCTACCTTAAGGGAGACAAAGGTCCTGTATGTAAAAGGTCATCCTTTTGATAGAATATGGATCAGTAAGGAAGGGAGGGCACCCACTCCCAGACTGACTTATGAGTCAGTGAACTCTGGTAGTCATTGCATAACAATTAACACAGCCACAGCACCCTCATTGTCCCTACTGTCAATCAGAATTAAATGCATTCTCCTGTTTCCCATGTTAAATGATTTATCTATGATTTAAATAATGTTCAAGAATTTCTTGATATGTTGATTCAAAAAGGTTAAGAACTGCATGTTTCTTCAGACAAAGCTTCTGTTGTTCTACAAATTAGAACTACAGACCTGTTAGGTGCTTCCAAAAGGTGGGTCTACCAAAGTTTTGTTAAATTTACAACAATCAATGCATGAATTTTTAAAAAGATTTTTTTTAAAAAGTTATTTGTATGTAGGCTTGTGCACATGAATGCAAAGGCCTTTAAAGGCTGGAAGAAGGTGTCAGGTCCCCTGTAGCTGATTGTGAGCCACCTGGAATGGGTGCTGAGAACTGACCTTGGGTCTCCTGCAAAAGTGGTCTTCACTCCTAACTTGTCACCAGCCCCCAACACAGGAATTTTTTCATGAAGCTTGAGCCATGATACCTGACAGTTTGTGTATCACATACATTTCTTCATGTTATGGTCATTCAGTATTTATTTGTATAAATTAAAATGTGCATAATTTGCTCCTCAATTTTATTGCAGTCTTTAGTCACATGTAAATATGATTGCATATAAGTTAAGTATGTAGAAGAATGTGATTCATACCATTTTGTCTTTTATCTTGAATACTTTTTTGCCTTTTTCTTTTTATTTTACATACTAACCACAGTTTCCCCTCCCACCTCTCCTCCTGTTCCCTCCCCTCACTTTGCCCCCCCCCCCCCCACTCCTCAGAAAGGGTAAGGCCTCCCATGGGCGTCAACTAAGCATAGCATATCAAGTTGAGCCAGATATCTCTGTCAAGATTTCTTTCTCATTGCTCTCTCTCCCCATCCCTCACCCACCATTGTTCTCTCTCTCTGTCCCTCCCCCAACTTCTTTAAGCAACTTAGAAAATTAGAGTCAAATTAATAATTTATTTCCAAATACATTGGTCCAGGCAGTATATTTGTTAAGTTCTGTTATGTTTTGAAGTGATAACTATTTTTTTTTTTGCTTTTAGCGTCTCATTTATAAATTGTGATTGTCTAGGTCCTAGATAGGCCTAATATGTAGTTTACTCACAAAAGTATCTAATAAGTAGGCCACCCTAGCCCCAGTTAACTGATTTGTATTAGAGTGGGAAGGTGGGGATGGAGACAAGTGTGGCTCCTCTCTTCCCTGAGATTCTTCTCTTTGTTTGTGTTAATTTTGTCCCTGCACAGTTGGAAAGGCTGGATTTATAAACATTTGGTGGTTTGTGATGACACTTCATAAAAGATGTATACTTTGTTTAAAAAATATCAATCCAAAAACTATTTTTTTCCTCTGGCACTGGAAATTTAAAAGACCATTTTGAGTTGAAGAAACACTCTTATATTATTTTGTAAGTAACTAATAAGTATATTATTATGGGTGAAGTATCACAGTAATAATCTAACAGAGCAATGCCCTTGACTGCTAATTCTTCAATGCTGTCTAGTTTCTCCTCAGCTGTTTTCAAAAACAGCCTTCCCATAGGTTATATCTTCTTCATGTAGCTAAAATACAAATAAAATACTATGTAAAAGAAAAGCAGAATATCCCAAATGATTAATATAAATCTTAAAATTTAGCTATCACTATAGTAATAATTGTAAAACTGAATTCACTATAATTTCAATGTTCTTCTTTTTCTAATAGTTGCAACACATTTAGGCTTTACAGTGGACAGAAACAACTTTGTGTTACTAGAATTGCATTTTGTACCACTGTTTTTTCCCATAAAACATTTAAATGATCAGAGGTAAACAATAAAATCTTATGCTGTATGCATGTCTCCCTTATTAATACAAGATGAAATAAGACATTGTTTTATAATGAAATGCTATTTATTGAGTCAAGATCTTGCCATGTAGTCTTGGTTGACTTGTAACTTATCATATAGACCAAACTGGCCTCAAAGTTAGAGAGATGTACCTGTCTCTGCCTCCCAAGTGCTGGAATTAAAAGTGGGTTTCACCAGGCCTTACATGAAGATAATTATTTAAATACATATGTCATCTGCCATTTTACATCCAAAGTTTAAAAAAATTTACCTGGTATAAGTCACTGGAAAGTGTAGTTCAGTTTTAGAAGGAGAACAGAATTCATCTTGGACTAGAAATAATATTGCAATTGTTGTTAAATATGGAAAAAGCAAAGCTTCATATAAAAGCAGATATTAAATTTGAAACTGAGTCCTATATGAAACTGAGTCCTTTAAAGTATAGCTTTTTATGCAGTTTGGCTTAACTGTCAAGATGATATTGTTGACTGGGATGAATTCCTTGTTGATTGATTGTGTAAAAATGTTGCTTTTCTTTACATCCATGAGACCAGGAAAGACCACTGGCTTCTCTGTGGGCTTTTCCACTTATGAACAAAATATAGCATTTGCATACCACATTCTTCTATCATTTCTGTAAATTTTATGGTTACAGTCAGAGTGTGATCGAGTTCTTCATTGGGTATTACTTTCCTTTCCTGCTTTGTTAAACATTTCACTATCATAAGCTTATTTCTAGTTGACTGTCATCTTTGCATTTTGGTTTTATAATCTTTTTTTTAAATATTTATTTATTATGTATACAATATTTTGTCAGTCTATATGCCTGCAGGCCAGAAGAGGGCACCAGACCCCATTACAGATGGTCATGAGCCACCATGTGGTTGCTGGGAATTGAACTCAGGACCTTTGGAAGAGCAGGCAATGCTCTTAACCCCTGAGCCATCTCTCCAGCCCTGGTTTTATAATCTTGACAAAGGAAGTATGAACTTTAAAATTTTCAACTCTCTTTACTGGTTTAACATTAAAATGTCTCCATAATGGAAGCATGAATGTCATTAACTGGCCTTTCTAAATTGACATCTATCAATGAATGGTTATTATAACCACAAAAGATAAAATTACATTCAGAGGTCATTTTGACTGCCTTCTCTTACAGGCATGACTAGGACTTCCATTCTTAAAAACTCTTGTCAGTCTGTCCTTTTTACAACATGACAAAAGAAGATATTTATACAGTCTCAGAAGATTTGTCTTAATGTTTACCAACAACTTGTAAAGTTCAGTTAGTAGACTTTTCTCAGTAGAAATACTAGAGAAATGGATTTTATGCCAGTAGGGTTCTTTATAGGTGGAATATGACTTCTTTAACCTAATAATTGAATTGTGTGAGTACTGGTCCACATGCATTCAGGGCTTTTGAAAACCTGTTTCTCTTTAAACTAGCATACAAGTAATTGATATCACTACAGACTTTCCCTACAGACTCTGTTTCTGTTGAATCTTCTCTCTGTCCCTTCTCCCCCAAGTAGCCCCATTCCACATGCGTGGCTTTGATTACCTTTCTTTCATTCTCCCCTCACTTAAGATCTACCCCCTCCTGTGTTTTTTCCTTGTCTTATTACCTATATCCATCCATACTCATGTGGGTTCTCACAAAAATTAAAATTTAAGACCAAATATGTGACGAAGCATGTAGTGTTTTTTGCTAACTCTGGCTCCCGATGCTTAGTATAGTTCCAGTTCCATCTATTTTCCTGCAGATGTCACAATTTCATTTTTCTTTATGGCCAAATAAAGTTCCAGAGTGTTTATATACCACCTTTTTCTGTATCAGTTCATCTGTTGATGGGCATTTAGACAGCAGTGAACATGGATGTGCAAGTATTTCTCTGATAGAATTCAGTTTTTATGGTATACATCCAATAAACCCCCTGGTTTTTAGTCTGCAACTCAGAATTCTCCCTTCCATATTTGTGTCCCTAGGTTCCTGTTCCACATCACCACACTATTGCACATACTTGACATAACACATTAAAAACAAAATCTCCGAAACTTTTTGAAAAAAAATTCACCACAAACCCTGCCATACCTCCCAGTCCTGAATTATTAAACTTAACCTTAATTCTCAGCACATGTTTCTCAGGAAATTCCATGTCCTTTAAAATATGTCCCTCTCCACCTGCCTCCTGTTGCCAACATCGTCCAAGCTATTTTTGTTTCTCTTGTGGAGTTCCTCTTCCTACCTCTCCCTTGTGTTCACATAGTCTGTTCTCTTGTTAAGTGATACCATGGGATCACGTATTTCTGCTCAGAACTCTTCAATAGAATCTTTTATTCAAAATAATAATCCAAGTTTGAACATTAAGTTAAGAAGCCTGTGTGTACACACTGGTGTTGCTGTGCTTGGTATCTGGAGTCACTCTGACTCTGTTACCTCACTTTCATTTACTCCAACAGAAGGCAATGTCTGCCCCAGAACTTCTCACTTACACTCTCGGTATCTGGTGGATGATGGAGGTGGGTCTTGTATCTTATCTGTTGCTTTCATTGGTTAATAATAAAGAAACTGCCTCGGCCCTCATAGGACAGAAAATTAGGTAGGTGGAGTAAACAGAAGAGAATGCTGGGAAAAAGAAGCTGAGTGAGGAGTCGCCATGATTCTCCCGCTCCAGACAGACGCAGGTTAAGATCCTCCCTGGTAAGCCCGCTCGTGGGCTACACAGAATATTAGAAATGGGTTAGAACAATATGTAAGAGCTAGCCAATAAGAGGCTACAGATAATGGGCCAGGCAGTGTTTGAAAGAATACAGTTTCCGTGTAATTATTTCTGGGCATAAGCCTGCCATGCGGGCGGCCGGGTGCCGGGGACGCAGCCCTGCCGCGGCTCCAGTTTCAACAGGTGGACACAGTCCCTTAATCACCGCAAATCATGCTATCAGTGTCAGCTTTTCCACGGATTTTGTACCCTGTTTTGAGATTTCAATGTCACTTTTCCTACCATTCTCTTTTCCATTTTCTGCAAGAGTAAACAAACTAATACACAATATTATACAGCTATAATTTATTTTGTCTTTTTCTTGCTAATAAAAATTCCACAAAATCCAACAGCTTTGACTGTTCACTAATTTATCACGTAGTACAAAGAAGAGTTTGCTCATAGATAATTACATGAGGTAGCATTGTTTTGATAACTCTTGTGGGATGTGTGTGTGCTCATGCACATTCATGTATGTACACAATACTAGTGTGCTTTTCTTTTCAAATGACTCCTTTTAAGTTAAGCTTACAGATTGTGTAGAGTCTGTTGGCAATAACATGGCTTTCCTTCGTTTGAGTTATCTGTGTATTTCTAGATTCTTATATCTAAACAGTACATTCAATTAAAACTACTTTTCAGCTTCAGAAATGCTCATAGTAAATGCCAGGAGGTTATAAATTTAGCAGAGTCTTAAGACTGTTAAGTCTGGAACTTAAGGAAGATTTTTGACATTTAAAACCTAATTCAGTCCTTTAATTTATGAATTCTTAATGTGGCTAATGGAGCACAATCAGATTGGTATTCTGCATTTCACAACAGCCAAATATTTATTCCAGAAATTCCAAATATTCCAGAAAATATGGATCATTTATTTATACATGGTAGGAAACCACTATTTGTAGCAATTATACTTTAAAAAACTTAAGATTTCAAAAATGCCTTGTGAAATAACATTTATTATTCCTTCTTGATAGAACAAATTAGCTGAAATGTCTATCAAATTTTCTAGGTTTTCCTGCATAGGAAAATAGTTATTAATTTGGTATTTTGGATTCGTACATCAAAATAACTACATTGTGCATTTGCATTTATAAACACTAGTAAGCACTACAAGAGCTATTGTGAACATTGGGTGAAAGACCAGAACTACTTAAACAACCCTTGTTCTGTTCAGGGGTGGGTGATTGAAAGGAAATAAGCATGATGTTTACTACTTAAACTGCGCTTGACTCTGGAGATCTAGCATGACAGTCACATTTTTGTTCTTTCATCTATTGAGACAATAGCATTACTTCACTCCAAACCTTATGGATACACGTTTTCATACAATTTAGAATAGATGACCTCTGTTGTAGATGAGGTACTATTGTCAGGCAGCTTCAGCACTGCAGCTAGAGTTATCCTTGGAAACAGACAGGAATGCATCTGTGAACACAGTCTCCACGGTGCTTCCCGATACCCGGCCAGTGTGTCACATGAGTCAGATGTTATTTCAGTTTTCCTTCTTGTGCCTCTATTGCCAAATACTTCCAAGTGCTCCTAATAGAAAGGTTGTCTGTAGCCGGGCAATTGGTGGTACACGGATTTATTCCAAGCATTTGGGAAGCAGAGGCAAGCAAATCTCTGAGTTCTAGGAAGCCTGATCTACTAGTTCCAGGACAAGCTCCAAAGCTACAGAGGGAAATTCTGTCTCAAAAAGAAAGGAAGGAAGGTTTGCCTGTTTTGTAACTGTCTTAATTTAATCTTAGATGGAAACACATTAATCACTAGCTAATTGCCCTTCATAGTCAACATGGTTATGAGTTGATCAAATTGTAAAACACTAAGCTTTTAATGGATTGTATTGTGAAAATAACCTCTTTGGATTTAGTTTTTATTGTTAAAATATGAGCTTTATGTGTTTTCTCTGTAATTCTTTTTTTTTTTTTGGCTTTGTTTTGTGTTTTTTGTTTGTTTGTTTGTTTTTTGAGACAGGATTTCTCTGTGTAGCTTTGGAGCCTGTTCTGTAACTTGCTCTGTAGGCCAGGCTGGCCTCAAACTCACAGAGATTAGCTTGCCTCTGCCCCCCGAGTGCTGGTATTAAAGGCATGTGCCACCACTGCCCAGGATCTCTATAATTCTAATAAAGCCATGTGTCTTAAGAGAATTTCAATTGAATTCTGGAATATAGATAAATAATATTGTCACGCCAGGAAGCATAAATCTCCAGTAGGTAATAAATCCCCATATATCATTCAATCAAATGAAGTTAGAAAACAATTGCAATACCAGAAATATGTTTAGGGAGCTTTCCTTTTGTATTGTATTGCCAAATGCATTTTGAGGGAGTGCAAAACAAGCTTGTGTAAGAAATATACTTGCTCAAAGGGTTGAGCCATTTTTATCTAGCTCTTAAGCCATTAAATAGTCTTCCAGCATTTTATCAAATGACTTTTAAAAACATTAAATATCTGCCCCTTATGGTCTTCTGTCTGCCTCTGTGACCCTCTCCTTCCATCACATGAGGTGACAGGGTGGTACGCATTCATAACGGATGTGTGCTATTCAGGTGGTCATTATACGAAAGCATGTTTAATTAAGAATAAATACAGATTTGTGGAAAAATGATTTCTCCTGACTGGTTATAAGTTTACTGATTTCATGGTCTAACCACATGGGGAAAATTGGTAGAAACACTTAGGAACCCTAGTAAGCAGGTTTTTTTTTTTTTTTTTTTTATGACACGTCTTCTGTAGTGTGCAGTCTGAATCAGGAGTCAGCTGGGATGATTCAGGTATCCCTAAAGCATTTTCTGTGCTGCTTTGTCACACTCGGGCCTTTCTTTTTCATGGTACTATCTACTACGTGATATGCAATTTTATAATGGAGTAAGGAGATTAATTTTCAAAGTTTCCTCTGGCCTGAGTTTGGGCTAATCTTCATTGTTCAGGACAGTATAAACAGAAAGGGGAGCTTAGCTACAAATAGTTTTTGGAAATGTCTTACTCTACTATTTTATACATAAGAAAAATGTAACGAAGTTACAATTTTGTTGCAATACATTCCTAACACCAATTAATGAAATGTAGCACTAGCTAGAAACCTCAATTGACATGTTTACACTGGTTAAAACCTCTTTGGTATTGCTTCCCTGGTCTTTCGATGTAATGTGAGCTGTTTTAGAGGCCACAGCTTCATCATAGAAGGGGCTAGGGAGACCACAAGATCTTAAATATTTGGGGTATCAGATTGACATGTGTTAACATGTTTGCTTTATAGTTTTGTCATTGTTGTCATTTTAGTCTATGCAAGGGAATCTTTCTAAAGAGAAACGGACTGCAAAGAGCATGGTAGAAGAGCTCGGAAGAAAAGAAGGAAGCCTCCAGAGGTTAACAGAAGCACTGTTCCAAGTGAGTACAACTCCCACCGCCCAGAAGGGCGATTCTCTATCCCTTTAAAGCCAGTACTTGCTTTCTATGTATAGAACATGTACAAATGGGAGGCTTGACTTGATGTATTCAGTAAAGTCATCAGGTTTCACAAGAAAATTATAACAAAAGGCAAGCCTTTATTTTTTTATGTCTTCTCCTGTTGCGGGAGATCCTTCCGCTCCTCCAGCCAATAGCCGGGGCTGCAGAGATGGCTTGGTGGTTAAGAGCTTTGCCTGCTCTTCCAAAGGTCCTGAGTTCAATTCCCAGCAACCACATGGTGACTCACAGCCATCTGTAATGAGACTTGGTGCTCTCTTCTGGCCTGCATGAGTTTCTAGTAAAGATTGTATGGTTTTTAGGAGTGCCATATTCTTCTTAAATGATAGAATATGCAAAAGAATACTGAAACCTAGTAACCAGTAAATTAAGTTATCCCCGTAGTCATATAAACCTTGCATGATATAACCCATTGTATTGGTAACCAAAACAGTAAAATTCGTGTTGGAAACGAAAACTGCCATATTACCTATTATCCAGCAGGTGGCGCTGTTGCCAAGTAGCGACAAAAACGGGGTCCTGTTTCAGGGTCCACCTAGTATTTGTTAAAAACTGGGAAATGCAAGTTGCTCAACAAAGTAAATGTAATTAAATCAATTCCGTACACGGAACCATAAACCCAGAATCCAGGGGTAGAGAAGACTAACCTGGAAGCCGTGTATGCCTCCACATGACAGAGTCACCCTGAGGGGTTGCAGCTTTCAGCAACCAGTAACTGCGTGCTCTGGTTCGCGCCACTTAAGGGCTGTGCGTGCAAGGGAGATTTAAAAACGACTCAGAAAAGAGCAAACCATGCGGGCAGAGACTACACGGGCCTGTGGAGTTTAAATCCACGTGGGGAGGCAGACGATAGGGTGCGTGGGGACTTGAAGTCAATCTGAGGTGTCTAAAGGGAAAATATAAAGAACTGCAGCAAGATAAGCCACTGCGTGATAATTTATATTAAACTGCGGCTCCATGCACAAGGCACAGGCCGTGGCTGAGGAAGGGAGGGCTTGCACCAAGCCCAACTTGCAGCAGGCAGCCGAGTGGGGGAAGAAGGGGATCCTAAAACCAAACGTTGGGCACCAGATGAAGGTGTAAGTCACAAACAATGCCACACCAGTTTGGAATTACGATTAACAGGGTGGTATTTATTTAAAGGGGAAAAAACTTACAGATAACCATCCCAGACAACAGCCCTCTGCGCAATTAGTAAGAAGTCTAGTCACCGGAACTGGAGCAGGAAGCAAAGAGAGAGGAGAGGGAAGTGGCCGCTTTTTTAAAGGGAGAGAGACCACGCCCCAATGGGCTGGTATCTCAGCGGCTATTGAATGGAGGAGCGGAAGGACCTCCAGCAACACCCTCCCATGCATTAGAATACAATTTTCATGACTTAACTGGGTATATTCAAATGTTACACATGCACAAAGTCCCAAAGTGCAAAAATAAGGCACAGATTGAACATTAGCAAAGTCCTCAAGGGGTCGGCAGTACTGCCGCAGATCACACTCTATCCTGTGTATGAGCTGAAGTACTTGACCTCTGCTTAAGGACATGTTGCATACATTACATGTATTAGCCAAAGTACTCGAATGAATCTCCTAAAGTGGAAGATGTTTTCTTACATAAAGCTTTCCACAATATGATTATCATGCCCAATAAAAATAATGATTTCTTGATTTTGATAATAATCTGTATTCACATTTCCCCGCTTCACCAAGTGTTTGTTTATGGTGTGGAAGACATTCCATCAGGGACCACCCATACATTTTATTATGATGTCTTCTAAATCCAAGGTGCTTTTCTTTTGTGTTACTATCTTATTGAAGAAACTAGAAGCTCATTCTTCTCATAGACTTATAGATTGTCATATGAGATTTGTCCTTTAGATTCGTCCTTTAGATTTGTCCAGCTCCTTCCTTAATGATACCATTTGTTCTTTATCCTGTGTTTCTAGTAAGCTAGTTATTAGAGCTAAAGGCTACATGGAATTCATGCCAGTTGTTCCTGCTATGAATATTTTGTATTGCTGACATTATTGTACAATGTGATTATCCTTCCTAAGTAGCATACAAATACTAATCTCTCTAGGTTAAATTGGTGACAGCCTAGCTTTTTTTTTAAAATTAAATTTAAAATCTGTGGGACTGGCAGAATATGCAGTTGGCCAGCATGTTTCCTAGCATCTACCAAAGTTCATGATTTAAAATAATAGTATAATAAGCCAAAAAAAATTAATTTTTCACGTGTAGTTCATTCTCTTTCTCTTTATTAGCTACCATTTATATATAAAAGCAACCTTTTCCTTGTCACCCAGTCTATTTGGTTATTCTTAAATGCAGTTCCATTTGGAAACCCTGTTAAGCTTACTTTTCATGAGTGGGGAGTAGGAGATAATTTTGGAGATGAGGATAGCATCTTCTGAGTGTAGTAAGTCATGAATCCATGCTGATACTTCCAGTTCTGCTCACACAGTTCTGAGATGCTGGCGTTTCTTTCCCATTCATATCTTATTTATATTTCTTTGTGTTTTAAATCATAAAATTTAATTCCTATAAGTATCAAAACATAAATACTTTTTCTTAAGATTAGAATAAATAGTTCCAGTTTTCTCCAGGGGAGTCTCCCTGGGTATATTAACCACATTTCCAATAACGAACCAACATGAAACAAACTCAGAGGTATTGTAGACTTTTTGTTTCATTTGGATTGTTTGAGCACTTTCTCTTATTGGTCTCTTGCTTGTATATTTTGCTTTCTGTTTTATGGGAGCCCCCCCTTTTTTTTTGAAGGGGGAATTTGGTGTATGTGTTTCTTGTTTTATGTTTGTTTGTCTTTACCCTTTTTTCTCTTTTTAGAAAAACAAAGACAAAGTTGGGTAGATGGGAAGGGAATGAGGGAGGATCTAGGAGGAGTTTAGGGTGATGATCAGAATATGTTGTATATAAAAAGGGTTTTTTAAAAAAAAAGAAGAAGAAAGAAAAAGAAATAGTCCCAGTCTTATTCCAAAAATATGGTGGGTTTCCCTGCCCGGCAGGCTCACAGAGCAGCAGCAAACTCTGGCAGGTCCCCAGCGGGCCGGCTCCAGAGTCCGGCACAGGAGCAAGTGGCTACAGTTTCCCACCAGCGGGAGGGCACGCGCCGCGCTGGGGGTGGCGGGGCGGTTAACAGACACATAAACACAAAAGATAAAGCTAACATATTTATTACAAGAAAGAGGAAAGAGAAAGAGAGAGAAAGGGAGGGAGGGAGGGAGGGAGGGAGGGAGGGAGTGAGAGAGAGAGAGAGAGAGAGAGAGAGAGAGAGAGAGGGGGAGAGGGGGGGGGGGGGGGGGGGGGGGGAGGGGGGGGGGGGGAGGGGGGGGGGGGGGCGGGGGGGGGGGGAGAGGAGGAGAGAGGCAAAAAGCCCCTTGTGTACACCGGGAGAGAGAACGGGTAGAAGAGAGTGAAGGGAGGGAGGTCACAGGTTAAAAAGGAGTGGGCGTGGCTAGGGCAGGGACGAAAGAATAACACCCAGTATAGTTAAATCACTTTGGAGAGGTTTAAGGTGTCCTTGCTTTTTCATTCAAATGGGTTACATTGTGGGGAATGCATACATAACCAGTCTGCTTGTTAGGAAAGGAATGTTGAGAACCCCAGGCTGCTGGGGTGTGATCCTTCACTTTGATTACTGTGGGTGTCACATGACAAAGAATACTCAGACCTATAAATATAGATCATTTGTTTCTACTAAATGTCTGCAATTAAATTTGGTTAAAGTAAATATACTATGATGTGTGATAATAGACTTGTTATAGACTTCATGGAAAATGTTAAGCCATATGACTTTGAATACTTTTTCTCTGTTCTAACAACTGGCTTTTTTTTTTCTTTATCCACTACAGAACCAAAGACAAACAGGAGAGACATACTCTTTACTGGATCAGGGCCAGGAAGCAGAGCAGTCTGGGCTGCAGACCCTCCATTCTAAGTGGCCTCTCTTTGATCTGACTGTGATTGACCAGCTGTTCAAGGAAATGTCTTATTGTTTGTTTGACTTGAAAGCATTGTGTAGCATTCTTAATCAACGAGCTCAGGGCAAGGAGCCTAACCTGTCCTTATTACTGGGAATCAGATGTAAGTGGCTGATGCCTTTATTCTGTTTGCTTTTTCTGTGTTAGTGTTGTGCTCTCCTTTTCTTTGGCTTTAGTTAAGTCTTAACTCAGCTGGTGGTTTTAGGTTTACCTCTCACCACTTCAGTACTAAAACTGATGTAAATTTGTGGAATCCCACAAGGGCATAGTTGCAGAATGCCTGGAGGTGTTTCCTACACTGGGTCTGATTGTGGCCTGCAGTGCCACTCCCCCTTGCTCTCCAGTCCTACGAGAAGTCAGGGTGCCCTGCCTTGTGGGAAGTCCAAGGCTCCCCCTCCATCCAGGTCTAGGAAGGTGTGCATCAAACAGAGTAGGCCCCCAAAAAGCCAGTACATGCAGTACAATCAAAATACAGTGTCATTATCATTGACTACTCAGTTCACCCTCATTGTCAGCCATATTCAGAGAGTCCAGTTTGATCACATGCTCATTCAGACCCAGTCCAGCTGGCCTTGGTGAGCTCACAATAGATCAGTCCCACATCTTCGTGGGTGGATGCACCCATCACGGTCCTGACTTCCTTGCTCATGTTCTCCCTCCTTCTGCTCTTCATCTGGGCTTTGGGAGCTCAGTCCAGTGCTCCAGTGTGGGTCTCTGTCTCTATCTCCATCCCTCGCCAGATGAAGGATCTATGGTGATATGCAAGATATTAATCAGTGTGTCTATGAGAGAAGGCCATTTCAGGCACCCTCTCCTCTGCTGCCCATGGACCTAGTTGGGGAAATTCCCTTGGACACCTGGGAACCCCTCTAGAGCCAAGACTATAGCCAACCTAAAATGGCTCCCTTGGTTAGGATAACTTCTTCCCTGCTTGCATATCCACCCTTCCTCCATCTCAATTATCCCAATCCCCCAAACTCTCCTCAGTCCTCCCCTTCTCTCTTCTCTCTCCCCATCTCCCTTTCCCCCCAATCCACCCCCACCCCCTGCTCCCAACTTTTGCCTGGTGATCTTGTCAACTTCCAATATCCAGGAGGATAACTATATATTTTTCTTTGGGTTCACCTTCTTATTTAGCTTCTCTGGGATCATGAACTATAGGCTCAGTGTCCTTTGTTTATGGCTAGAATCTGCTTATGAGTGAGTACATACTATATTCCTTTTTGGGGGGCTGGGTTATCTCACTCAGTAAAGTGTTTTCTATTTCCATCCATTTGCATGCAAAGTTCAAGATATCATTTTTTTTTTTTTTTTTTTTTTTTT